AGGGTGAATTTTCACAGCTGCACAATGCTTTTCCATTTCGTTGCCGGGAGATTCCTTCGATTTCGCGTGTCTCCTTGGAAGATCTACGAGTCTGATGGGATTCTTTCGAAAAAAGGGAGGAAACTCTGGGGTGAGGGAACTCGGGGGGTCAAATTTATGGCGAACACGCAAAGAGAATTATTGGGTTGCTAATTGAAGAAACGAAAACGAGGGTTGGAATGAGTGAAGAAATTATCGCGGAACCTTAATTTCCCCCTCCCTCCTTTTTCTTCAAATTTCCCATTCAACAAAAATTAAATTCTCGATCGAAAATCGACTGACGAACACGCAATGCTAAATAAAAAATTATTCAAATTCTCTATTTCCAAATTCCACTTCTTCTTCCATTTCGATGAAAATTAAAAAAGAAATTCCTTTCTTCAAACGTGGAAAAAAAAAACTCGTTCAAGAGTTAGAGAAAAAGGGATCGAATTTTCATTTCAAATTACGTATAATGGGCGAGAGGCTTTCTCCTCTTTGTCAGAATCAAAACCCCATCCGTCGATTGATTAAACCCCTAGACCATTTCCAACCCTTTAAAAATCCACCATCCGGCAAAACCCCTATGCGACTTTGAAAATCCATCCTGCAGCGTGGAAGCATTGTTGCAGCTCGCCATTTTCTCGGGGAAAACGCGAGTTTTTGGGGGAGAAAGGGGGCGCAGTTGATTATCTCGCGACGACCCATCCGAGTGAAAACATTCTTCGAGCCAATGTGAAAACATTCTTCGAGCCAATGTGAAATTATTATTGCCGATAAATTGTTATTCGATCGAAACCGGCGTTATTGCATTATACAAAGAACAAGGATAATCTTTATAAATAATTATGGCGGGAAAAAAAGAAGTTGAAAATTTATTTGTTATGCAACAAGAGGAATAATTTAATGGGGAATTTGTGAAAATGTTTGAAAACGTGTGCGCGCGCGCGCGTGTTTACCGGTCGTAGATTTTTGATGATCCCTTGAGCGTACAGGGTGTTTCGAGTGGCGTTTTAAAATTTTAACGGTGTTTGATGCTGTTTGGATGTATGACGACGATCCAGGGCGGAACGGTTCTTTCAGAATGCCTCTTCCTTGAATTTTAATTAATAATTACGTTTAAAAAACGAGCGTGTACATCGAGAATCGAATCCCTTATTAACATTACTTTATAACATATTAAAAATTGCAAATTGTTAGTTCTGCTAATTAATTCTTGTTTCATCTTAACTTGAAAAAATTTCGCGATCATCTCGCTCGTCGAGATCGTCGAATTCTAAAAATCGGGTGGAGGGGCAAATTGTTGAGATCGAATTCGATCAGGAGTTCGCGCGGAGTAAAAATATTTAACCGAGTTTAACAATCGTGCGCGGGGATCTGCAAAAAGGGGAGGGGGTTCCAGAGCGATTAGAGCTTAATCGAGATGAACGGTTGAGGGATCACGTGACCGAGAGGCGGAGATAAAAGTGGACGGGATACGATTTCCAGCGACAACAAGTTGAAACGAAGTTGAAACGAAACTCGGTAACGAGAGCGCTTTCATGCTGGTGGGAACGTACCACGTCCCATCTGTAATTTCCACTTATCTTTCTTTACGGCTCCAAGGGCGTAAAGAAGATCTTGTAACCTTGCTCCCTGTTTTACCTATCCGAGGACTCGAAGTTTTACCGTCTGAAATGAAATTTCCTTCTTTTCGATCATAATTTTATAGAGCTATACAGATATAAATGAATTCTACGATTCGAAGTTTTAAAGGAATTTTTGAATGTTGGATCACAAATTGAATTTAAAGACAGGTATAACCGTTTTAAATGAATTCTACGATTCGAGATGCTCGAGGAACGTGCGTGTGACTTTTGAAAACTATTATTCGAGAATGGTCTCGAGAAGAATAGTGTTAATAGTAATACAAAATTATTATTATATTATATTATTATATTATTAATTATATTATATTGGACTTATTTTTCATTTTGAATGTTGTATTCTAATGTTTCAATATCTAATGTTTACAATTTGAAAATAAATCGATGAGCGACAAATCAAAAATCGAATAAAACGTCGAAACCTGTTTTGAGAAATTTTTAAAATGTTTTTTAAAATGTCTGAATATTGACACGAAAAATTTATGCACTCGTACGATATAAATAAAATATCTGGAAGATCTGAAAGTTTCGAACAATTTTATTAGTCTAATTTTATTTTATCCATTTTTACTGCATTTTTACATTGAATTTCCAAAGTAATTTTTATATCGCGTTTGATATAAAAAATACTTCGACACGTCGATTTCCTCCGTGTGTCCGGTGGCCATTCTAATTTCACACGAACGATCTACGTGACCGACTGAGAGACATCATCGTAAATGGAGGACTTCAAAATTGCCGGAAACTCACCATCGCGGAAGGAAATTCGAACTTTTATCGCGATGAATTACCTACGTCTCGAAAATATTCTTATTTTTTGACAAATTCTTTTTTATTAATTTAGTTAATAGACACTTTAAAATTTCTTTGCTATTATTCAAGAAATTATATTATATTTTTGTTGGTGAAGTGACTCGAAGAATCTCGTTTCGATTATCCTCGAGAATCTTGGTAGAATTCGTTTAAGACACCAGTTGTATTCGAACTTTTATCGCGATGAATTACCTACGTCTCGAAAATATTCTTATTTTTTGACAAATTCTTTTTTATTAATTTAGTTAATAGACACTTTAAAATTTCTTTGCTATTATTCAAGAAATTATATTATATTTTTGTTGGTGAAGTGACTCGAAGAATCTCGTTTCGATTATCCTCGAGAATCTTGGTAGAATTCGTTTAAGACCCCAGTTATATTCGAACTTTTATCGCGATGAATTACCTACGTCTCGAAAATATTCTTATTTTTTGACAAATTCTTTTTTATTGATTTAGTTAATAGACACTTTAAAATTTCTTCGCTGTTATTCAAGAAATTATATTTTTGTTGGTGAAGTGACTCGAAGAATCTCGTTTCGATTATCCTCGAGAATCTTGGTAGAATTCGTTTAAGACCCCAGTTATATTCGAACTTTTATCGCGATGAATTACCTACGTCTCGAAAATATTCTTATTTTTTGACAAATTCTTTTTTATTGATTTAGTTAATAGACACTTTAGAATTTCTTCACTGTTATTCAAGAAATTGTATTATATTTTTGTTGGTGAAGTCACTCGAAGAATCTCGTTTCGATTATCCTCGAGAATCTTGGTAGAATTCGTTTAAGACACCAGT